ATTGCATGGATCATTAAGAATGTCCATGACATATTCTTTGCGTATGAGATCTGGAGCGGTTGATATGCTTCAGCTGCTTTTGGCTGGAGATGAGTGTGTATCGCTCTAAAGTGAAGAGCACAGAGAACCATTAGATTGATGTTTCCACATTATAGCAAACGACGAGCCTGCGCAGCCGACGAAACCTCTCGCCAGCGGGAACAAAGGGAATAGCCATTCCCCCGCTAAGCAACTCTCCAGCAGCAATGAAACGAGGACGATCGACCAGCGATGCGCCTTGTTTCTCCATAATCTCAGCTGCAGCCTATATTGTGTACATGTTATCGCTCAGAATCCGGTGCCCGCAGTGGGATATACTTATATCGGCCAATAACAATGTACTTCTCGATTCCTGTGCGTAGGGTGATGAGAGGACCATACTCTTCAATCCATGACGCTACAGTCAGAAATCCGCTAAATGGCATTGTGAAACTATGAATGTTGAAGTAAGATTGGCACTTACTTGCGAGTAGGTATGAGATGGCCGCGAAGTCTCCACGTGAGAGGGGACGGAGGAAAGGAGAGGCTGCTCTCTGTACTAGAAAGGTAGGCACGAGAAATCAAAGCTTTATACATAAACAAGTTGCGCCGACGACAAGTTGAGCGTGATCAGACAATCGCAGGTCGGTCAGCTGTAGCATGGTTGGACAGAATGAAGCTTGGTGGGGCCTGAAATGCACTGTACAGTGACTTTTAACATAACAACTAAATGAACGTAATTGCGATGTGTTCACTAGCTTACTCACAATGACGAAGCTTGCTAGTAACGATCATGGTAAACCAAGCTACCAAAGCAGATGATGCGTGTTTTTCTTCTATGGAAAGAAAGAAAGAAAGGAAATTTTGGGGACTTAGGAACCCCCGATAGGGCTATGGATGTCCCATCCTAACACCGTAGATCCGGACCTTTGTTTTCGCATGAAGTGCACTCGAGCCACTATTTTTTCAGGCCAGGTAATGAGCTGAGCTCCAGTGAACGGGATAAGGAGGCCTTCAACACGATGTCCCCCGATATTCCGCAGGCCCACGTAAAGCTCCGCATCCAATATAAGTTCAAGAATGAATACTGGAGTCATACACACCTTTGTTAATTGCGCCCAGGTGCAGCGGTACCTGTAGGATGCAGATGCCAGTAAATCCGATACTATGTCCCTACGACCCATTTGAGGGACTTAAAGTTAATCCAAAATGGTTCGAGCACGGTGCCCCTTGACTCTCCTGCACCAAAATAATGTGACATGCGTATACCAGACACAACATATGAAAATTCAAGCTTTTTCGCGGAAGTGTTGTTCGTGGCAAGCCGCTTATGTAAGTATTACGACATAACGTTAATCGAGCCGGTGGTCGTTATATTTGAGAAACCAAAGAACGCTTTAACCCAGAGAAGCCCTGCACATGACTATTTCCGGATGGAGGTTTCAGATCTCAGAGCTCGGGCTACGAGGCTTGTATTTCTATGATAGTTTGCGCGGAAAAGATCGCAGACGGTGTGAGATAAGTACATGTCAAACTCGGGACTGGCTGACAAAGGCTGGGCCAGCCTGAGATATGATCAACGCAGACGCCGCAGAATCTGCCGGCGACCTTATTACAAGCTCTTGACTTGCGTTGATCCACTGGCAACTCCGTTTTGTCGTTTCAAGTGCCAAATGGGTCATACAGACCTACCTGTCATCACAACTGGGGATTCTGAAAAGCCCCTCAGCTTAGAGGAGTGCCCATCTGACTATTTTCCGGATGGAGGCTTCAGAGCTTGGGCTACTGCGTTTGGAGGGTAAGATCTGATGGCTACTGGGTATTGCCGCAACGCTTATGACCATTGACCCCCCATAGCTTTCTTGTGCAATTTTGCACGTACGGGTGAGTTTTAGGGCCAATTTCACGGGCCAGTTCTATTAAAGATCTTCAGATATACAATCTCGTTCGGCGTTTATCAAGGTGATCTAATGTCCTCAAAGGAAGCTACTTTTCCAAGGGCGTAACTTTGATTCAAAGATTTCTATGCTCAGACTTATATAACGAATCAGTCTCCCTCAACAATTGCGTGCGTCGTACTCCTTCGGCACTCATATTTCTCCTTTTATTTGCCTCCAGCTGGATCGGCAGCGTGAATGCCTTTCTTTTCGAAATTTGTGGCTTGATAAGTGGGCAGCTTTATGATCGAGGATACTGGTCAGTCAAATTTGCAGCGTGGTCTTCACACGGTAGTCATAAGTATGAAATGTCGGAAGCCGTCAATTGGTTATAGGCGCATCTCTCCTTCAAGTAATTTCGCTTTTCATGCTTTCACTCGCCAAACCTGATCAGTACTACCAAGTAAGCACATATTGCCTATCTTATGGATCAGTTACTGACTACTACGGCAACAGGTATTCCTTGCGCAGGGCATTGGGTCAGGGTGCGCTGCCGGGTTGCTTTATATCCCCACCATGGCTGTTGTTTCGCAGTATTTTCGCAAACGACGCGAATTAGTGATGACCTTCGTTGCTTCAGGAGCTTGCCTAGGCGCTGTGGTGCACCCAATCATGTTAAACAACACCTGAATGGTCGCATTGGTTTGCGAATGGGTTAGAGCTAGCGCGCTGCTCATCAGCGGTTTGCTGTTGATAGCATGCTTCCTCATCAAGCCGAGGTTCCCCCCATCTAAGGCATCAACAACATTTCTTGCAACCGCAAAGAAATGTGCTCAAGACCCCGCCTATATATTTGGAACTGCGGGGTACGTTCATGCAGATTTAATCAACGTAGACTTATTTGAATTGATTAGATTAACATTTTTGCTATTGGATTCTACTATCCTATTCTACCTCCAGCTCGACTCGGCTACGCATGGGCTCAGCAAAACTTTCCCTCCTTTTATTCAGTTGAGTCCAACAACTCTCCTTTGTCAAGATGTCTTGAACCTGTCAGCTTGTAATCATGAACACGTCAAGTTTCGTAGGACAGCTAACAAGTGGCTTGCTCGTTGAATACTTTGGCGTCCCAGGAGTCATGACGGTCTCAACGTTTGCCGGCACTGTCTTACTTTTTTCCTTGATCGGGTTGCGCACCCTAGCCAGTGTGGTGGTAATTGGTGTTCTTTATGGGTATAGCGCTGGAATTTGTAAGTCGCATACTGTGGCTAACCATACCGCTGAGTCACTGCTTTTTTCTACAGTTCAAGCGCTATGGGCACAGGTTCTGGCTGTCTTATCGCCAGACCCATCTGATCTAGGGTACGCCTGTTCCTGAAAGCACGTTCGCAACGAGATGTGAAACTTGTTTGCAGGCCCGCATGGGCATTTCCTACGCCTTCATGGGTAAATATTAGACAATTTCAATTTGACCCTGTGCTCACATGGACCCTGGCTCTAGGAGGGCTGATAGGTACATAGGCCATCCCATGAGGATACTCATTTTGCTGAATTAAGGTGTACAATTAGGCCCGCCGATATCAGGGGCATTGTTAACAGGTGATTACATCTGGTGGCGCGGCGCAGTTTTAATGGGGGAGCACGTACCGTATCTTGCCGATGAATAATGCTCACCCAATACAGATCATGGGTGCGATTGGGTGCTCGTGTTTCATCGCCATGCAAATAGTACTTAGGCGGGGGATCATGTTTCTCAGTAGCGAGGTTGAATAACAAGTTATATCACCTCCCAGTAAGTACTATACTGTTAACAAACATCACACAATATCAAATGTCGCGTTTTCTCATCGCCAAATCAGCAATTCCATGCTCAAAAGCCGATCTAATACTGTACAGAAGTCCAAGGTTTCAAATATTACTCCTTTTCATAATGTACAAAGTGGTTGACGAGCAGTCTATGATATTGACAGACATGTGAAATATTCCCTACGCATACAGTCATCATCCTGGGAGTCATCCGCGAAACCAGCGTTGCCAGCGGGCGCCGATGGGGCGCCGCCAGCAGACGCTGCGCCCTCTGGGAATCGGAAGTTGTTACCGAATCCACGTGATTGTTGCAGGTTCTGGAGAGGAGACAGATTAGCCGATTGATGTATAGCGAGTGAGAGATCATACCTGGAGAACATCTCGTACCGCCTGATGTCTTGGTCTGACACTGACCGACGGGCATACTTCATCGCCTCCTCGAAGTGCTCTCTTGTGATCTCAGGAACAGGGTCTTCTTCATCTTCCTCCATCTTGGCGTCCTCGGCGTCCTCCTTCTCCTTCTGCTCACGCTGTCTCCTGATGTCAGACTCAATGCTTTCGCGAATGGCCAACTTGGCGGCACGCTGACAGATCTCAGTGAGATCGGCACCAGAGAAGCCATGAGTCTGCTTCGCCAAGAACGCAAGATCCACGTCTTGGGAAATGGGGGATTTCTTCAGGGCTGCCTTCAGAATAGCAAAGCGAGAGACTTCATCGGGTAAGGGAATGTAGATGAGCTGGTCAAGACGTCCGGGACGGAGTAGTGCAGAGTCGATTTGATCGGGCCGGTTAGTGGCACCGATGATGAAGACGTTTTTCTTCGCGTTCATACCGTCCATCTCCGTCAATATCTGGTTGAGAACACGGTCCCCTGCACCTCCTCCGTCACCCGATGAGCCGCCACGTGCCTTGGCGATGGAGTCAAGCTCATCGAAGAACATGACGCAAGGTGCAGCAGCACGGGCTTTGTCGAACACATCACGAACATTGGCTTCTGATTCACCGAACCACATCGTGAGCAGTTCGGGCCCCTTGATGCTGATGAAGTTGGCTTGACATTCGTTCGCGATGGCTTTCGCAAGGAGTGTCTTACCCGTCCCCGGAGGGCCGTAGAACAAGACACCCTTCGATGGAGACATACCATATTTGAGGAACTTCTCGGGATGCTCAACAGGGTATTGCACCGTCTCTTGGAGCTCGAGTTTGACTTTGTCGAGACCACCAATGTCGTCCCAGGTAACTGTGGGCACTTCGACGGCAGTCTCGCGAAGTGCGGACGGGTTGGAGGTACCGAGGGCAAAGCGGAAGTTATCCATAGTGACACCGAGGGAATCCAGCACTTCGGCGTCAATTGTGTCCTCATCAAGATCAATGAGATCCATCTTTCACGAATCTGCTGCATAGCAGCTTCTGAGCAAAGAGAAGCTATGTCGGAACCAACGTAGCCGTGTGTATCGGCGGCAATCTGAATAGAAGTGTCAGGGATGGCACGACATACTAGTCGACAGTTGCTTTACCTGCTCAAGATCGACATCATCGCCCAACTTCATGTTCTTCGTGTGGATGCGAAGAATCTCCAGACGGCCAGTAGGGTCTGGAATAC